ATATCTCTTACGATTACCACACACTCACTCTCGCACCACACATATGATGCAGATCAAATAAAAATCACTCTTATCGTCCAAATTGCAAACCGTTCATTTCTTCCCTAATGTAAATAACCATGTTAACATATTAAGATTAGGGAAAAAAAACTTAGATTAGGGGAATCAAAACTAATATATGTCTTCTTGGGTTGGATGACACTATAGCTTTAGAGAGGACAAAGTGAAGAACGCACATTCGTGTGGACGATTGATCTCTTTTCTTTTCTTTTCTTTTTTCATCTCTCTTTTGCTTTTATCGTTTATCTTCTTTGTTTTTTTTATAGTCTTATGTTATTTTTACCATTTGTTTTTTTATGCTCTTTTATCTCTTAATCTTTTATCTGTCCCGTTGACTTTGCCATATTTCCTTTTTAACTTGTCGCAGAAAACTTTGCCAATTAGCTTTTTCAACACACAAAAGTGTGGTAAAAGACGTTATTACCCTAAAAGACTTTATTACTCCCTGCGTGTTCATTAATTGAAACCCACCCCAGTCCTTGTCAGCCATCTTTTTCTTTATTCTCTTATCTCTCCTCACCTTTAATTTCCCTTTCTTTTGTGGAGTCTTATTTCTACGATCAACAATTCACATGGCCTGCGAAATAGATCACAGATCCGAAAGAGACTACGAACATAACCTGCGAAATTCCAGATCCGGAAGAAGAAGAGAAAGGAAATAGATAACAACTGAAGACCTGCGAAATAGATAACAGATGGAGATCTGCGAAGAAGATTGGTGAGACCGTGAGACCCCTTCGTACGATGCTAGAGCCTAGAGTTGTAGCCATGTATCGTTGACTACTTTATTGTCTTTTTAGATATCCTCTTATTTTTACTTCTTTTGTCCGCATTATTCTAATGGAGGGTATAAGTGTCTAGTCAAAGCCACCCTTTTCATTTCCTTTTCATTATCTTATTCGTTTTATCATTTGTTTTTCCTTCTTGTGTGTCTTCTTTTTTTGGCATTGATATCATGGATCAATTCATGTTAGTCGACGTCAAAATATTTTGTGATTATGTCTTGGATGTTGTTGTTTTGTAGATGCCCATGTACACGTCTCGTTTTATCCGTGTAACAATTTTTTTTTTTCATTTTTCAAGGTCAATCGTTTTTGCCACTGACAATTTTTTATCCGTTTTTGGTGTGTACATGAAGCCGCTTTAATTCATATCTCACTACACAACGTACACTTTATGTTCACAGATGTACTTTTTCGCTTGGTAGATTCAATGGTACCCATAAGGTACCATACCTTTGTCCACATGGACTAATGAGAATGTATCTGTTGAATTATTTAAATTTAAATTTAAATTGATAAAGTAATGTGGTACAATCAAATGAATCATAGGTACGATATCCCATATTTTAGAAAGGTACCGGAATTGTCACCTTTTCCCTTTCGTTCATTTACAAAATTGACACCTAATTTATTTAAAAAGTGAACGAGCTTTTGAAACTGTCATGAATAAACAAATGTGAAGCTGACGTGAGTTTCTGTGGCATATACTTCGTATTACTAATCTCCACATATGCAGCCTTTCAGAGTAATTTATCTTGCCTATGGAAGGGTTCTGCAGATTGCCTAAAATTAAAATTCCTAAAGACGGGTTATATATGGGCAAATTATACCGTACACCCGATTGTATGATTCTCACAGTACATCCGAGTATTTTTGTAATAATATCTGATTTGTATGGCCGTAATTCTTTGGTCCTTATTCTTCCCTGCGTACATATGCTTTCTTTTTCGAGCTTCGTACGTAGATCTATGCACCGGCCACCGAGTATTCTTTTCTTCTACCTAACTTTTTCCGTAGATCTTTTCACGTAGTATGCTTTGTGCGTTGTTTTTTTATTTCTTTCTTTTTCCTTTTTTTTCACAACCAACTTTTCCATTGATTTTAATTGATGATGAATATTTAAGGTATTAATATTTTTTTCTATTTTTTATTTAAGGCGAATGTTTATTAGTTTATTAAATATTGTGTAGTGAAGATTACTAAAATGAGTTTTATGTTATAATAAAATGGGTATGGTGTAGAATGTCATACTAATTCACATTTCAATGGTATCATATTAGATTAGGTTCGCATATCAGAATATATTTATAGGAGTTAATTATAGATATAATTTAACCAATCTTACAAAAGGAAAAAAAAACTAATAACAAGAAAGTGAATTATTAGAAGGCATGGAAGGCATAGATTACAATACTCAATTGCAGGTTTATAGTACTCAATAGGTGAAGGTCAATGCTCAATGAGAATGTATTGATCCTAACTAGTAGAACTTACGATTTTCATACAGATATTTCAGAAGTATAATATTAATTCACATTCTCGTATTGGAATTCATAAGAGTTGAGTATAGATCTAATTTAAGAAATTTTAATAAAAGAAAAAAAAAGAAAAAAAGTAAATTAAAAGATATAAATTAAAACAAAGAACGTGATGCTCATTTTTAGGACTCTAATACTCAACGGAACATGTCTATTGTTCACTACAAGTTCATTAATACTCATTTTAAAGAAGTTGAAATTTTTTCATAAATTACGAAAAATACTCAACAGAATAGATCTGATACTCATTCTTAGGATTCTAATACTCAACGAAACATGTCTATTGCTTACTAAATGTTCATTAATACTCATTTAACAGAAGTTGAGATTTTCTCATAAATTACAAAAATGCTCAACAGAATAATTTTGATACTCATTAAAAGTTTTCTAATGCTCATTTAATAGAAACCGTGATTTTCATCTCTATAGAGGATGTTTGATACTCAATAAAAATGTCGTGATCTTGAACTAACAAACCTTACAATTTTCATATCAATGCACATTTTGTAAGTTATACATGCTCATTTGATACTGATGGTATGCTCATCAATGCATATGTCAAAAGTATCATACTACATTACTACGTATTACGTTAGATTCACTCATTCACATATTGAAATTCATAGGAGTATTATATATATATATATATATATATATATATATATATATAATTTAATAAGTTATTATAAAAGAAAAAAATAGAGTGAATTAAACAATATGAATGATGCTCAATATTAGACTCCTAATATTCAACAAAATAGGTCTAATGCTCATTAGAAGTGAACCAATGCTCATTTAAATACTACTTTAATGTATTTATATTCATTGTCTAAATGATCTGTATATTTATGTTGTATGAGATATATATAACAATCATAATAAACTCGATCAAAGTATAAAATTAGAAAGGAGTTAGAGAATCTAGTCACAAGATCATACATATATCAACATATACATAGTATTATACAAGTGCATCAATCAGTTAATATTTGACCAAGAAAGACGCTAATAAAACTCTAATTTTTCTGAACAATTGGTAATAAATCAATTAAATCAAGATGTCTATCTTTTATTCAAATAGTCATCGACTTTTTTAGTTGAATTTCACAAGAGTCCATTTTAAATACTCTTATCAATTAAAGACTCAAGGATATAAATATAAGAAATACAATAAAGAATGATAGTTGAGAGTATCAGATTAGCTACAAATTGGAAATGAGTATCAAATGATATGAGATCAGAAGAACAAAACTTTAGTATCAATGGATGCGAAAAATAATCTGGGGAAAAGGCAACCCTTTGAGGTAGGGCCGGCTCAATAGATTAGGAGACCAAGTGCAAATCACGTGAAAAAAGCCTTATATTAAATAATAAATACTCCCTCCGTCCCAATATAAAAGGCACATTTGCGTTTGGGGACTTTTTAAGGGTGAACACTGTTTGAACACTGTTTGGCACTGTTTTTGGACACTGTTTGGCACTGTTTGACACTGTTTTGTTTGCCAAAAAGGGAAATGTGCCTTTTATATTGGGACGGACCGAAAAGGAAAGTGTGCCTTTTATATTGGGACAGAGGGAGTATAATATAAAAGACAGCCTTTAAAAAATAACCCAAAAAAGACTACAATCAAATGTGACATTGAGATATAATCATATTTCCAACTTGAACAACCAAAATCGGTAAAAAAAACGTAAGCCGAAAAGAAATGAATTAAAATCATAAACTAAAACATATAGAGTAGGATATTATTGAAAAAACTACTTCATCCGTCCCTTAAAACCAAGCTCGTCTAAACTATACGAGGAATTTGTGCTAATTACTATAACTAGTCCTTATCCAGGCCTTATGTAATAAAGAAGTTGAACATTTATAATTAACAATTGCATTTTAATTACATACAAATATTAGTATTTAATGTTTGTATTTAAAAACAAAATACTAAAATAGGAATCTTCAATCAAATAAAAAAGGATTTTGTATATTATGTAGACTATATTTAAAATTTTGGGCCTTCTAAATCGAAAGGTCTTGTGCGGTAGCACTTCTTGCACGCCCTCATCTGCGTCCCTGCTTTGAGGCCCTCATCTGCGCGAGCTAGAGTTGGGTGAAGCAGCGTAGTTCATACGGACCTTTTACGAAAGGACATAAGAGAATAAAATAGTGTGTATGAAATGGACCTAAAGATGAAAAAAAATACAAAAAAAAACCTGGTTGTACATATACAACCGGGTGTATAGTATGATCGAGAGGTCTTGTGCGTTAGACATTCAGGCCACGTTTTATATCATACAAATGCAGTCACAAGTTATAGAGAAAAATGCAAAGAATTGGTTGCTTAATAATATCACTGGAGGTAACTAAAAAGGTGTTTAAGCATCACCCACTAATACAATGCACCAACCTAATAGTCATTAGTCACACTAACAAAACAAACCAACCAATTAATTTGTGATTATTCCCAATAAAACCCCTACGCAATTGGGTAAGGTGTGTTATACCTTTTAAATGTCCCGTTTTACCATATTGGGATGTCCCTATTTAATTGTCCCATACCTTATTTGGTAAACTTTGTGTGGCTCAAAATCATTCTTACTTTATTCTTACTTTATCAATTAATATCAACCACACAAACTCACTTTTCTTAAAACTCGTGCCACCATCTCCCGTCCAATTTAAAAGGGGACGGAGGGAGTAGTTAAGAAGCAGAAACTAAAGAAGAAAATGAAAGTTTGAGGAAATGCTACGTGATGAAATGGAATGGTAAGGTGGAGAAGATCAGACCAGTATGGCGTTTTCTTATTCCAAGTGAAAGAGATTCTCGGCAATGTTTTGTGCAACCAGTACTTCAAAATGTTTTTTAACACAGGTAGGACATTCAGCAATCCCCTCAATTCGAAACTTCTTCCAAACAGAGTCCGATAAAACCCAAAGAGAGAGTATTCCAGTACGCATAAATAACAATACGATTTCCCCAGCTGAAGTAGCAGTAATAGAAGTATTGGAAAAGAATTCACTCCCTGCCTCCAGAATCTCTTCCTCTAATGGAAAGGGGACATCACGCCTCTTCCAGAGAGATGGCGATTTCGCAGCCGTTTCCAAGGTCCAAACTATAAATTGCTTGTCCTGATGGACATTAATGACAGCAAACCGCCCGCTGATTTCTAGTAACGAGGATTTTTTGACATCTTTACCATAAGTTGCCGGAGGAAGAGGTATCTGGTGGAAACTCTCCGACCCAACGTCGAATGCCACCACCTCAGAGCATCCTGCTAAAGTCTCCCACGGATCAGAACGGAGCACATTGTAGGAATAGATCACGCCGTTAATGCAAACGCCATTGATGAAACGTCTACCAAGGGAAAGCAATACAGGGGACTCGATCTCCCGCCACGCTTCATCCACACCCAGTGTGAACACCCAGTACTTCACTGTCCTCCTGAATGGAAACCCGTTACTTACGGCCTTCGAAACCTTGTATGTTCCGGAAACGCCATCATAACCCAAAAAAGCACTAGAAAAACCGCTGCTGGGAGTTTTCGGGAGAGAAGTAAGTTGTCCTGAGGCAAGGTCAAAAACCATCAATTCTGAATGCTTGTTGAAGAAACATATTCCATCTTTTGCAAAAGACACAGATCTTCTGTCTTTGAGCCATCCTCTGTCCAGATGCCCAACACGTTTTGCTTGAAGGAGCTTTCCCGCCCGATTTTCTTCAAAATTTAGGGTGTAAAACTGCACTGGGGGACACCGGTGATAACGATCCGTCCTAAACGTATGCGAAGAGAAGAGAATGGTTGTGCCGTGGTTAGGGGGCGCTGACCAATTTCGTTGAAACTCGGCGAAACTTGGATCGTCAATATGGAATGGAAACATGTAGAAACGCAGCTTAGCTGGCCCCGAGATCTGGGGCCAAGTCGAACCAGAATCTGAAAAAGGATGTCTCGGGGAAGAGAAGAAAGGTGTATCGGTGCTTTCTTAGGAGTGTTTGAAATCACTTTAAAAAAAAAGCACTTCTCAAGCTTTTGGCTTAAAAAAGCACTTATTTACCAAACACTACCAATTTTTACTTTTTCTCGACTTGCGTGTGAAAAGTGCTTTTCCCCTTTCTATTACACAAAAAGCACTTATTTTACCAAACACTATCAACTTTTACTTTTCAAAATCACTTTTTTCTCAAACACTATCAACTTTTCCTACTAATCACTTTTTCCTTACATCTCCAAAAGTGTTTTTTTTTAAGCAGAAGCAGTTGCAAACACTCCCTTAGTCTTGGTTGTACTATGATTTTTTTGTTTGAGAAAACAGGCAAATCAGAACTATTTACATTTTTGTAATCCGACTTCTGAACCGGAAAAAGTATAAATACACACATCAATCATTGAAAATCAAGCAATCATGTCTTTTTTTACTCGTTGGTGTCAGTAGTTTCTCATCTCCTTACCTGCACAAGCGGGTAAATGAAAAGACATGAATGCTTGATTTTCAATGAGTTGAGGGTGTATTTGTACTTCTTTTGGTTCAGGGCCTGAATGCCTGATTGCAAAAACGCAAATAGTTCGAGGGCTTATTTTCCTGTTTTCTCTTTTTTTTTTTTGAAGTAAGATGCCAAATTACATTGCTTTCAATTTTTTTTGTTTTTTGTTGTACTATGGAATATGAACCGAGGAGTATGAAGCATCTGTGATAAAAGCCTTTTATCACTCTTTGGAATTTATGATCAAAGAAAAAAAAATCATGGATAAAAATATTATGTTGTAACTATTAGTGAATTTAATTGTATTCTAATTTATTTCGTAATAATTACATATGAGTTATCATGATACTCCGTAAAGTCATTTGAATAATTTTTTTATAATTGGGCAGTTTTTTATACATATAGCATGCAGTTTTTGTTAATAATTTAGTTAACTGACTTCCGTTAGGAGAACACTACCCTATATATATAGGAAAATGTTCAAGTAAGGTAGGCCTGAGAATTGTAATTCTTAGGCCTCTTTCATTTGAGGATCTCCTGTGTTGAATTTTTTGATGAAATTTTTTAAGCATGTTCTCCATGAAGTGTAGACTATGCCCATCAAATTTCAGATTAAAATTCAATCGGAACGTTGGTTAAATAGTTTTTTCAAAATTGCGCAGATTTTTATATATAAAATGCAATTTTTTTCAATAATTTATTTAACTGACTTCCCGATTGAATTTTATTGTAAAACTCGGTGGACATAATCTAAAAGTCATGGAGACCATGCTCACCAAATTTCTTCAAGTTCGACCTGGAAGCGCCTCAAACGAAAGAGGCCTAAGAATTACAAATTCTTAAGCCTACCTTACTTGAACATTGTCAATATATATACTCCCTCCGTCCCATTTTAGTTAGCCAAACTTGACTTTTCAAGTCAATGTCGTCTAACTTTGATCGATTATATATTTATATAGAGAAAATATTGATAATTTAAAAATGATATGAAATCGTTATTTGTTTAGAATTCTATCATAAAAGTATAAAAATCATTAAATTTTACATTAATATAGTAGTAAGAATATTTGGTCAAAATTTACTATTTTTGACTGGAAAAGTCAAAGATGACTAAGTAAATTGGGACGAAGGGAGAATATATTAATTGAAATAAGAACAAGCCTTAGCGTGAAAATTGAGAACACTATCTGAAGCATTCGAAATACACACTGTTGACATGATCTACTCCCTCCGTCCCTAAATAAACTTCCAACTTTCCTTTTTCGACCGTCCCAATTAAAACTTCCACTTTCCTTTTTTGGCCAGAATTTGTGGTTCACAGCAATTCTTACACATTTCTCTCTCTTCTGCATAACTCTCCACCACACAATACTCACTATTTTAAACTCTGTGCCAAACCTATTTGGAAGATATAATAGGGACGGAGGGAGTAACAAGTAACCAAGGGTATTTTAGTATCATCCTTTTAGTGAAGGAATGAGTACTTTCCATATTATTTTATATTTCACATCTTTTTGAAAGCTTCATATTATGTGCATCTATTATTTTATGTTATGTGCTTCATACTCCGTATTGTTTTATATTATGTGCATATATTATCTTATGTGGGTTGTTCTCACGAGCTCCATAATTTTATTTGGTAACTGTCAATTATTTTTAGAAGCAATTAGTGCATTATTATTTTTTCGGTTCAGTCAATTAATATTATTCACCATTTTAATTTATATTCTATAACATCTTTTCACTTTTTGTACAATAAATATATATGAGATCATGTGTATTACATTCAACTTCACTTCTCGTGCATCAAACTCTGATAATTAATTTAAGTTTTATTTTCTCGAGCTGTACATATAAACTTTTATGTATCTTTAGATGAAGGGGCGTGCGTCAAATTATCACTAATGACTAATGCATCAAATTGTTGTTTTGGGGTAGATTTGTATGAAGGTAGATTTGTGCTGTTCCTAGGCCAACAGAATACCCGGGGTTCTTTATTTTGGGGAAGTGACATTCGTAGCCCACTAATTATTAATTAATACTCAATTTCCAATTACAAGTTTGCCCTTGATTTTATCTGCACTAATTGAATTCATTAAAGATGGAAGTCATCTCATTTGCTTGTCTACACTAAATTCATTAAGAACACTTTTTCAATTTTCGCTAACAACACTTTATATATGTTCAGAGACACTTTTCACTTCTATTCATTTGCAAAATTAACACCCCATTTAATTAGAAGTGAACTTCTGAAATTGTTAAGAATAAACAAATGTGAAATTGACATGAGTTTCTGTGGCATATATTGTTGGAAAAAACTAGCAGCAACTATTAATGGCAATAAAGAGAATCAACAGAAAAACTTATCAACAGAGATGGAATCGAGCTGTGTCGTGGAGACCACTGGCTTGAAAACGAAATTCGGCACGACTCCGGTGCTAATCGTGTACTGCCGGTTCGTTCCCCAAGGTTTACACAGCTACTTTCAAACACGAGCACACATGGTTGAAAGAATGGACTTTGCACAATACAATTGCTCAGAAAAGGGAAGTGATCAAAGGAAGGAGGTTGTCATCTGTTTTTATCAGGGGATCAGTTTCCAATTTATAGAAAAGTTTTAACGGCTTCGGCCAGTAAAATAGGAGCTGAAGCTATCCATTTTCCTGATCAAATGGAACGCACTTTGCACGTATGCTGGAGCCTTCAACGGAATTGGATATCCATGACCTCATAAGTGGAATTAAAATCGGAAGATGAAAGCAACTGCTCTGACTAAGTCTGCCAATTTTTCAATAAAAAATAAAGAGACGTGCTTGGGCCTTGAAAGAAGCAGACCCAAGTGTAGAAATTGATTTTGGGCTGGACAGAGCAGTGAGAGCCATTCTCCCAACAATCCCCCACAAATGGCTCTTAGAAAAGAAAGGAAAGATTTCTGAGCAAAGGAAGGAATAAATACTTAGATGCCAATATCTTTTGATTTGAATTGACACGTAGTGATGTGAGGTAACGACTTCTGCCTAGATGAGTGAATGTCATCTTGAACTCACCTAGGTTAAGGCCGCGAAACCCCCCACAGCACGTATAGTTTCCTTAATTTGTGCAAACTCCGCGATACTACCGTTGCGCTTTTATGGCCATGCGCATACCTTGGTCTCATGAGTGCTCTAGGAAGACATCTCAAGTCTTTCATAGAAGGTGGCTAACCTTCACACTCACATAGGTGGTTCCCTTTTAGGTGCTTCTCAATAGCAACCCCTTCCGACAGAAGTTTCGAACCATTAAGAGTGTATAACTCATCCTCACAATATAAATGTATATGACATGACATGAGTTCATCAAGTCCTTCTCAATAGAACCACCATATGTATGGCTATAAACTCATAATTTGATCAAACAAGCAGGTCACTAATGATGTCTTCATATATTACCATCATTTCATAGCAATGAATTTAGTAAACTGTCATTGGTAACATATACCAAAGACTGTGATGATACCATACAACATATAGGTAAATATTCATCATATTACCTAATTCATGGATCTTAGCCCTATTCCCCTTGATGAATCAAGAACAATCTTTCTCGGTAATCCTTTGGTAAAAGCATCTGCCAAGTTCTTTTCGGACCTTACATACTCCAAAGTGATAACCCCATTTTTCAGCAACTGTTTGACTACACCATGTCTGATTCTGATGTGCCTTTTCTTTCCATTATACACTGTGTTCTTTGCCACTCCAATCGCTGCTTGAGAATCACAATGAAGAGAGATGGGAGTGCTTTGTTTTCCCCATAAGGGTACATCTGCCAAAAGACTCCTCAGCCATTCTGCTTCTTGACCTGCCAACTCTAGAGCAATAAATTCAGATTCCATGGTGGATCGTGCTATACATGTTTGCTTTGAAGATTTCCATGATATAGCACCTCCACCAAGAATGAAAACATAGCCACTAGTTGAGCTAACTTCATCATTATCAGCAACCCAATTTGCATCACAAAATCCTTCCAGAACTGCAGGAAATTTGCTAAAATGCAAACACCAATTTATAGTACCTTTGAGATATTTAAGCAAACGATGAAGCGCACTCCAGTGGGTACTATCAGGATTATGTGTGTAGCGACTCAATCTACTGACAGCATAAGCAATATCAGGTCGAGTATAGTTCATGAGAAACATAACACTGCCAATAATTTTAGCATATTCTTCTTGAGATACGCTAGGACCCTTATTCTTTTTTAGGTGGACACTCGAGTCATAGGGTGTTCTTACTGGCACAACATTAAAATGATTAAACTTCCTAAGGAGTTTTTCAATATAATGAGATTGACATAGAGACACACCGCTTGAGTCCTTGTTGACTTTGACTCCTAAAATTACATCAGCATTTCCCAGATCTTTCATATCAAATTTAGAAGACAAAAATTTTTTGGTGATCTCTACAACATGCAAATTGTTCCCAAGGATAAGCATATCATCCACATAGAGGCAGACAATTACACAATCTGATTCAAACATCTTAGAATACACACATGAGTCAGAGTTATTCACAACAAAGCCATTACTTAATAATGTCTTATTAA